GTTAAAAATAAAATTGACAATTTTTATTCATAAAATCGCTTTTGATTCATCTATTATAACCTGTACCTGTTGCAGAAAACTATTTAGTTTTATACCATAAATACCCAGTAATCACACTTTATATCTCCAGAAATTCGTATTAATTAAATAATGTTTTCCTATTGACTATGAATAATTCCGTTTCATGCATCCGATGTAAACAAGTACAAATGAAAAATCATGCTCATCGTATGTGAAGCAGAATGCACTCCATCATTATGCTACACCAGACTATACTTGCACAATAACATGAGAAATTAAAAATAACATATTGTAATAATTTGTATAAACTACCCAAAATTACACTGATGGATAAGAAAAGACGTTTTATCATCAGCCATGGCACATATCACATTCTTCCACCTTACTTATACAGGCTACAACATGAACTAGCCCCCCAATATTAAAAAATCGATTTTTTTCTTTATGCATTCGTTTGCTCACCCTTAGTTCAAAATATATACGGAAATTATATTGTGTCTGTGAAGTTAGCACGATGTTTTATTAATTTCCAAAAAACAACGGTTGTTCCAGTAGTACTTCTCATTGTTCTACTGTTCTTGTAAATATCAAAATATGTTCCGCATTTTTAATATCAAAAAATCTGTTATCATAAAATTTAGCATATCGCGCGCCGCATTAGGAAGCGACATCCCACGGTTGAGGATACATAAAGACAAAGAGCTTTTCGTTTTGCTCTTTGTGCCTGCGGATCGACGATTAGACAGCAGAGATAAAGGAGCAAGCGTCGTGATTAGACGTGCCTCGGTGATCGTTGATTGGCGACGGAAGATTGTGCGAACTCTGATATAATAAAGGAACTATTTCATTATACATCTCGGCCACAGCTGCGTCTCGACTACTCCGGATTCAATCCCAACTTTTCCCAAAAGACATAACAAAATCGAAAATAAAGAAATGCCGTGCTAACTTCACGTTCCAGCACGGCACATTTTCCTCTAAACTAAAGCATTAGAAGCCATTGAATATTGCGACACTTGTTAAGTGTTCCGGTTAATTTTAGACAAAATATGTTATTATATAAAATTTCAGGTCAAAATTCCAATAATTAATAACTTTTAAACAGCTTTGAATAATCTTAATCCAAGGAAATGTGTCATGGCAATTTTCAGCGTCTTTGACGATAGTTCTGATTTGTTCTGCTTAGGAATAATCATGATCTACAGTTGTTTCGACTTGCATACATTTTTTATACAATTTAACTGTTGTCACTCGGCGAAAATGTATCGTGCTGACAATTTTGTGTAGTTTTTACGATAGTTCTGACTTGTTCTACTTAGAATGTGGAAGGATTATTATCTAAAGTTGTTCCGTCTTGCAAACGTTTTTTAAACAATTTAACTGTTGCTGCCATACATAGATTCTAAGCATTATGCATTATGAATTCGTTTGCACACCCTTAGTTCAGTAGATATACGAAAATTATGTTATGGGGGGCCAACTTCACACTAGCCCTCCAATATTGAAAAATCGATTTTTCTCTTCTGGCATTTGTTTGCTCGTCGTTTGCTCACGAATGCTCAGTTGGTATTTTCGTTTGCTCACCCTTAGTTCAAGTTCAACAGATATACGAAAATTATGTTATGGGAGGCCAACTTCACACTAGCCCCCCAATATTGAAAAATCGACTTTTTTCCTCTGGCATTCGTTTGCTCATCGTTTGCTCACGAATGCTCAGTTGATATTTTCGTTTGCTCACCCTCAGTTCAATAGATATACGAAAATTATGTTATGAGGAGCCAACTTCACATTGGCCCCCCAATATTGAAAAATCGATTTTTTTTTCCTCTGGCTTCGTTTGCTCATCGTTTGCTCACTAATGCTCAGTTGGAATTTTTGTTTGCTCATCCTTAGTTCAAAAGGTATACGAAAATTATGTTGTGTCTGTGAAGTTAGCACGACGTTTTATTAATTTCCAAAAAACAACGGTTGTTCCAGTAGTTCTTTTCAATGGCTCTATTACTGTTCTTGTAAATATCAAAACATGTTCCGCATTTTTAATACCAAAAAATCGATAATAAAAAATGCCGTTCTAACTTCACGTTCCAGCACGGCACATCTTCCTCTCAAGTATCAGAAGCCATTGCGACACTTGTTAAGTGTTCCGGTTAATTTTACACCAAATATGTTATTATATAAATTCACACATAATGATAATAAGCATCTTGATCTAGCTTTGACCGTGATAGGCTTTGCTTTGTGCTTCCTTCTTTCTTGTTATTGTTTAACAATTATACGGTCGTAAAAATAAGATTCTATTATTTGTTATTATATAAAGTTTCAGGTCAAAATTGAAATAATTAACTTTTAAACAGCTTTGAATAATCTTAATCCAAGGAATAATGTGTCATGGCAATTTTCAGCGTCTTTGACGATAGTTCTGATTTGTTCTGCTTAGGAATAATCATTACCTATAGTTGTTCCGACTTGCAAACGTTTTTTAAACAATTTAACTGTTGCTACCAGCACGTCACTCGCCGGAAATGTGTCGCGCTGACAATTTTGGGTAGTTTCTATGATAGTTCTGACTTGTTCTACTTAGAATCTATGTGGAAGGATTATTATCTAAAGTTGTTCCGACTTGCAAACAGTTTAAACAACTTAACTGTTGCTACCATCACGTCACTCGGTGGAAATGTTGTGTGCTTACCAGAAACGTTGTATAAGGGCTCAGGCAGACGAACGATTTTGTAGTGCCACAATCGCAAACGTCGATCCGTTCATACGGAGCTATTTTCTGGCGCTACAGAAAAGCGTCGCGAATACGTTCAGACGAAACATTTCGTGGCGCGACAAAAAAAGCATCTCAGGTCCGTAATTCTCGATTGACAGAATTACGCATTCTTCCCCACGGCACAAAATAGATTTTCTCTTAAAATCTACAATATATACATATATATATATATATATATCTGCAATTAACAATGGATGAATTATAATGAATAAACTTAATTTTTAATTTTTATTTATTCATGTAATGTGTAAAAGCACAGCGTAATTTTGTCAATCGAGAATTACGGACCTGAGATGCTTTCTTGTCGCGCCACGAAATGTTTCGTCTGAACGCATTCGCAGAATAGACATAGGAAAACATAAACCGAGCGTCCTGCGGGGTAATGATAAACGGGGTAAGGGGAAACAGCGGACGAATTCGGCTATTTCCGTAGATCGACTCGGGTATGTTCGAGGTTACAGAAAAGAGTGTATGAATCTCAGCGATTTTCAATCCAACATCTATTATTATAAAATGCATTCTTTTATATAGAAATAAATACAAGATTCATTCTTTATTACTTTAAGTTCAACAGGTTCAAGAATAATTGCAGTTTAAAGGTTAGATTTGAAACTTAATTTATTTAATTAATTAAATAAATATTACTTAATATTACTTAATTTATTTTTTTTGTAAATAAATGTAAATATAATGCAAATGTGATGATATGTGATAAATGAGAATAAAAAAGATCTGTAATATTTTTGTAGAAACACGTTTTATTGAACAAATATTAAATCTCTCTTCCGTACAATTGATAAACAATAAACAAACAAGAAAAAGGAAGCCAATAACATATTAAAATCTAAAGATGATAACCGGAACACTTAACAAGTGTCGCAATATTCAATGGCTTCTGATACTTTAGAGGAAGATGAGCCGTGCTGGAGCGTAAAGTTAGCACGGCATTTCTTTATTTTCGTTTTTTTGGTATTAGGGCTCAGACAGACGAGCGATTTTGTAACGCCACAATCGCAAACGTCGACCCGTTCATACGGAGCTATGTGAACGTATTCGCGACAATTCGCGATGCTTTTCTGTAACGCCAGAAAATAGCTCCGTATGAACGGTCGACGTTTACGATTGTGGCGCTACAAAATCGCTCGTCTGTCTGAGACCTTAGAATTGCGGAACTTTTTTTAATATTTACATGAACAGTAGAATAATGAAAAGTGCTACTTGAACAACCGTTTCTTTTTTTTGGAAATTAATAAAACGTCGTGCTAACTTTACAAATACAATTATGTTTTGGTATCTAATTAAAAAATTGATTTTTTTCTTTATGTATTCGTTTGCTCACCCTTAGATCAAAAGGTTTACGAAAATTATGTTTTTATACTACTTCATACTATCCCCCCAATATTAAAAAATCGATTTTTTTTCTTGTGAATCATATATCTAATAATCTATAAATAAGATGTATAATGACGACGTAACTTGCATTTGTTTATTAATATATGACAATTTTTATTATTCAGAATGAAAATTGGAGTACAAATAGGACTTAATAAAATCTTAAAAAATAGCTACAAATCTTTGAAAATAATCTTTAAACGTTTAAGATTTATCAAAATTTATGCATTAATGCAAAATACAATTGTTAGAATTAATAAAACTTCTTAAATAGAGCATCTGTGCTGTGGCACAAATCCCGTTCGCTAAAAATGCCGTATATCCCAAATAGATTGGATATATAAGTCAACTAATGTAACAAACAATACAGGAGCAAAGCACTTGTATTTTACTATACAACATGCTTTTCTATTCCTCTACATATATCTATTGCAAAATAATCACTAAGTCTTTTACACGCTCTATAGTAATCATTTTATGTAGATTATAAATTATGATGGTACTACTTATTACAGTAAAAAATCGATTTAACTCGCAATAATTTCATTAATATTAACAGTAAAAAACTGAAATCATAACATAATACTAATATATCATAAAGTCATGTAACAAAGTATTTGACGGAAAATTATCTCCATTCCTTCTTATTTTTTCTGACTTCTGCGGCGTATATCGTCGCGCGGCGTATATACCGGGTTTACCCTATACATTTTTGTTGAATTATGCATATATGTATATCATACAGATTAATATTCATTAATTATATTTGATAATATGCAATTATCGATTAAATATTGTGATTGTTACAAGAGGTCTATCGTATAGACGCGATAACTCTTTCTAGATCTGTATCGCCAATAATTGGTGCAAACAATTCTTCAGCCAATTCTCGCGGACAACATCCGGTGAGAAGAGGTAGGATAAATAGAATCTTCGCCAGTTTGTTTTCTCGGTCGTCTTGATGTTGGAGATGTCGTATGAGAGTTTTCACGGCATTATTTCTCGCTTGTGACATTATATGGACACCGTTAGTAGTATTGGCGATTTCTGCAATTTAAATCACACTTATTGCAATGTAATTGCACTTTTATCATTGAGAAATTAAACAAATTTTATTGATATCTATTATACTAATGAAAAATTATATGGCTCTTATGCATATACATAAATGTACTGTTTAACTTTTATTTACCGGGACGACACAATGTAAAAGTGTCTAAAACACACAATTCGACATCGTCGAGTTGCAATTTTTCGATTGTAGTGCGCGTTGCAATTATGCAGGCTAAAGCACTATCATTACTCGTTACACTTTGCCCTCGTATGTTCATCAAATCAATCGGCCATGTAGCTGCACGTAAAACAAAAAGAGCAGACCATCCACGACGAAGAATCTTGTTTTGGTCATCCATATTGAGTACCGAAAAATCTCGGTGACGACGTGCATTCCGAATAGCTGCTAGGAATATTTGCGCGGATATTTCGTACTGTATAGCCGTGTCTATGTACAATATAAAATTCAATTAATTTATTGTAAAAAATTATATCATCACAATTGTTTATATATATATATATATATATATATATATTTGCATTATTTCATAAATCAGAATTTCTCTTTGAAACTGTGACAATAGATTTAAAAAAAAAGAGAGAATTAGGCCAATATTTATAGTTGATTCTTATTTTAAGACTGTATCTTAAGGAATGTTTTAAGATGCTAATGCGGCTCTCTGATTGATTCGTAACATCTCAAGATTGAACTTAAGACGGGATTGAATATAAGAACTGATTATGGATACCAGTCTTAAACTTTTATATTTCATTAGGAATACAGCACATGTTACACTTGATAAACTCTATCTAAAATTGGATAACTTAAATATTCCAAGGAAAGAAAATTACCAGGTGATATAATCCTTGTCAACTGTGGATAACGCGTCATGATGGGAAAGAAAACGTTCTCTCTAGTTTCAGACTCGTATGACGTTTTCATCATTAGAGTATTACTTAGTGTGGGATTCTTGAAAGGCAAATATGTCTCGGAATTATTAAGGCGTGCACAAAAAGACGTTGACGGATTAACTCTAGGCTTCCAAGTGCTGTTAAAATTATGTGGATTTGAGAGCGAATTGTTTCGAGCACGTGGTCCTCGTTCTTCCTGCACCGCTGTAAAAATATATGTTTTAAAAATTTTACAGTATCTTATTAAAAAAATGTAAAGAAAATGTCTACTTTTTATTTATCAATTATTTTTATAATTAAAATTAGTGTTGAAAAGAATAAAACAATTTTTTCTTGAGAAGCTAAGTAATTATTCTAACAATTAAATATTTTTGTTAAATGTATTTCATAAAATTTACTGTAAATATGTTTTGCTTTCTATACTTCTTATTAAGTTACATAATTTTATTTTACGTTTGTGTCTTTATTATAATCGATGTGAAAGTATGCAATGTATAGTGATGTTATAGTTGAACAATTCAAGTAGGGTGGCTTTAATTCTCCGATTACAGGATAAGCTTTGTGTATTTAAAAGCTGACGACCGGAGTTGACACTCGATATCATTTCTCGTGACACATTATGGCAATGGCTACTACTAAATTATTTAAAGAATTATCCATGAAAGATGGTTATCGCAATTTGTGTTCGTTACACACATCCTTATAACAGATTTAATCTTTCTCAATTTCTTTTAAAATTTTTATGTTTTTTGATTATTTAACACTATATTTGTCACTACTGTTGAATAAAAATATACCTTATGAAATAAAAGAACATATAAGATAAACATCAAATTAACATCAATTGTCCGCATCACAGTCGTGCTGTCAATTAATTTTTCTGAATAGCGTTAAGGATGGAGGCACGTGTCTAGCATACGCCATTGTTTGCATCTCGTTGAGTTTGTTAGCACCTTTTGCTATGTTTACTTGTTGGCGGTGATTTTATTTTCGCCCTCGCGATATGAGATTTCATAAAAATATACATATCGATTTAATTTAATATTATTCGGAATAATAAGAATAAATGATTTAATATAAAATTAAATTTATTTAATTCTACAAAAAAATCACAATTATAATTTTTCGGAGTTTATATTACAAGTTAAATTATGTAAAGAATCGATAATACGTTTTGATATTCATGCAAACGTAAAAAACATCAAATACATCAACATTATTTTATGTTACTCTAGTAGTTATTGTAAAAAGGTTAAACCTTATCGATGACTTCGATTTTTATATGTGTTGAAGTCGATATAATTCTGAGTTACATATATTTTATTGAACCACGTGTTCGAAAAACTAAATGTAAGCAATTTAATTAAACTTTAATTAAAGTTTATTAGAGTTGCGTTTCAAGACCGACAATTGTTCGGCGCGCAGTTTAGAAAGACTACATATATTAGTTATATATTAGTATATAAATTCACGCGAAATTATATATAAGCAACTAAGATCCAAACTAGACTGTTATAGGCTTCATATTTATATTAGTTATGTTCTTACATTGACGGTATTTAGATTTGAATATTGTTTAATTTAAGTATTTTTCTCAATAAAAATTAATTATTTACAGATTTTAATAGAATAATAAAAATATATATATCTCATGGACTCCTTACAATTAAAACTATATACAATAATATTTTAAGGGGCTAGTTAAGTGTCGGCGCAGTAAGAAGAGCGCAATAATTAAATTCTAAATTGTAATCTATATTTGGATATTTCGGCTATTATGGTTTTAGCCATCTTCAGCAAATCATATTTCGCTCTATCGTTAATTAAATATAAAAAATACAATATAATCAAAAAAAGAATAGAAAGACAGATTTTACAGATTTTAATGTCATTGAACATTATTAAGATCGATTTAAGGTGTGTTCAAAGAGCATCAAAAATTGTTAAATTGTTTGTCAATTTAACTCACGATATTACCGCGATAGTTTAATAGAGCTTGCATTTCAAGTTAGAAAACAAATTTAGCGCGCAATTAAAAATCTATATTTATCAGTGGCGTAGCCAAGAAGGAACTGTGAGGGTTGCTCCCCCCTTCAAAATTCTGAATAATTTTAATAATTTCATAAGAATGTGTAAAAAATTGTTGAGGCGTAAATATCAATTTATTTTGAGAGAGGAAATTAAATCCTGTTGGAATAGTTCTCATATTTAATTGCAAAAATATCGTTTACCTATTATGTATTAAAAATATATTTGTTGATTTTTCTTTGTATTTGGCACGTAAACAAAAATTTGATAAATTACACGGAAAAAAATGTTGCTGCTAATATAATCGCAAAAAAATGACATTGGGAGAACGGCAGCTTTCAACTCGTGAAATTTCAGGATATTAGTATTTATTATTCAAAAATTTGTATACTATAATATATAATCTTTGACATATTCTGCGATTTGTACAGCTATTCCAAAATTTGGTGGACTTTTAATAATATTTTGTCGAATTTGGAGAATTTTTTTTCAAACGTTAAAGTTGTGTATGTGTTACGAATTTTCAAATTGAAAAATTTCATTACATGCTACATTGAAATTGAATATTTTTCTAGAAAATTTTAGATCTTTAAATGTAATAGTAAAAAAATTATGACAATTAATATGCAACGTCAGCCAAACGTTCGAAACGCGACATTACAACGATATGTATATGAATTATGTATTATATGTAAATTATATAAATATATTGTATATATGTAAATTATTGTATTATCTCGTTTTACGAAACTTTTTTGTTTATGCTTACCAAATGTGTCACTAGTATTAAACGAACATTTTAAAAAACTGATTTCTACAACCTCTCCCGAAACATTTTTTTCACTATGCCACGAGTACGAGGGCAAGTCAATAAGTTCTTAGAAAATCCGTAGCATACCAGCTTGACTATTATGAGCTGTTCTCATTGGTTTATTGATTCAAAGTGTCATATCTTAAAAACTAGAAGAGTTCGCCACCTGATTCAAAGTGTGCGTGGCTTAGAATTATATTGACTTTGATTACATGTAAAAATTAAAGTCATTAGTAAAGTTTAACTTTTTCATAATAATTACCGTTAGTTTTAAAACAAATATTTGTCTATTTGATCTATTACTTAAATGTTCGGATATTAACAGAAATTTCTTTGCAAATATATATTAAATATTTTACCTACCCGCTGTATTCATACCAACGGAGAAACATTTCTTTAGACGGCAATGTGGACACCAATTTCGTCTAGCTTTGTCAATAGTGCAGGATCCATCACTGTCTAAAGAATTATAAATCCGATTATTGACATGATATTAAGCAGCATTTTCTAGCATTATTCTTTTGATATTGAGTGATACTGTGTGATGTTATGTATATTTAATTATTTCTATGTAAACGTTTAAACGTGTACAAACTTGTGCAGGTAAACAGAGCACCGCGACGCACGGATCTCTTGAAGAAACACGAGCAACCATCACAGCAATAAACACCGTAATGTTTTCCATATGATCGATCACCACACACTTTACAGGACACTGGTGTAGGTAAAGTTCTTCCTATTATGAGAAATGTCAGTTACGAATTTTTATTAAGATTACTTTTGAAAATTACAATTAATTACAATTAATTTTATCACAAGAAAATTATTTCTACTTTGTAAGCTGTTCGCATATTACGCGCATTTATATCATTGAAATATGTATTATTTTTATTTGTGATTGAATAAATTGAAATACATATTTACCCATTTTTTTTATTTTAGTGCAATAATTTCAAGTTCACACAAATTGGGCGAATTTTTGTAATTCGAATATGAATCGCGCGAAAATATATATTCGAGTAATGATCAAGGTGATCGTATCCGACTTGGTTGGCGAATAAAGGCAAACTCTGGCAGGACGTAGAACGCACCCCTGTTTGAGAAAGACTTAACTCGTTGGTGGTGGAAATGGACGGAGGTAAGTTGGATTTGTCCGACACGTCACTTCAAATGTCAAAACGCGAAAGGATAATATTTACGATAGACTGATCGAGCGTGACACCATTGTTCGATCGTGAAATTATTCTAGAACACAGAGAGAACTTTTGAATCAATTATTCAATAATTTATAACGAATTTTTTTGTAAAAGTAAAATCACAATCCTTTTATTGGAAAAGACTTTATTTTCTTGATTTACAATATTATATTGTTTGATAATTGGAAGATATATAAAAATATGCTAATTAAAACTTTACAGTTTAATTTTTATTTCCGCATATATTTATTATAATAATTATTTTAAATTTTACTCAACAGAAAAAAATTTTTATTTCCTTTATTTATGGGTAATACAATTAAAAAGATAGAATTAAAGAATATTATAATATAAGAAAGCGTTTGATTTTACAAATATCATGTTTATCTTTATCATATAAGATACTTTATATGAACACCAATTATGTATTATACAATAATTTATTTGTCCATATACAAAAAATGTAAGGAATATATAGGATGGGCCAAAAGTCTGGATACACAAATATCTCATAAGCGATACATTTTAGAAAAAGATGTTTCAGGCAAAAGTTGTAAAGCTTAAAAAGACGCATTTAACGATAGTAGTTATTTGAACTAGAATGAAGTTGTCAAGGTCACGTCAAGGTCAACTTAATTTTTTTAAATGGAATCCCTTACTTTTTATTTCAGATTCTTGTAGGTTATGTTGAGACGTTTTCAAAACATATATCATAAACTCTTTTATAAGGTCTTGTCGTTTATGAGATATTTAGGTGTATCAGACTTTTGGCCTACCCTGTATACGTATATAACTTCAAATAATCCTATACTATTTTTTATTTTACGGAAATTTTAAAAATGTGCAAAGTGATTGATTTATCTTTTGTTCATCATATTAAGTTTTTTTACTATATTATTTTGAATAGGATCTCTTTTTCTTTAGCTCGGAAAAAGAAACGCAACTGCTCTGTTACCTTAAGTGAGTAAAATTATTTATTGCGTATTGCAGAAATAGTGTTACAGAGGAACTATACACAAAAATTCACTTTTTGTTAACGTTAACTAAATATATTCGTCAAGAAACCATAACAACGGTTTCGAGTCAATAAATTATAAGAATGTTTCAGACTTTTCCTAGTTATCTTTCGAAGTAAATCATTATTATATTCGTGCAGAAATTACGGCTAAATCTGATAATATTGTATTCGTACCTCGAGAAATTAACTTTATCCACTGCAATTAAACAATTGCATAATATTTATTTTCGTTTATTTTTCATTACTATAAATTTTATGCTTATTATGTTTGCCAAAAATTGCATGCAAAATTCAACACATGTTTCAAGCAATCACGGAGAATTATATAAGTAAATGTTCTAATCCAGTAGTAAGTAAAACAATGAAGAGTCGTCGAGGTCGAAAAAGTCTATCTATTCCTAATATTGCAATATTTTATCATGAAGATTATTTACAATTAAGTACTCTAGTTGCGTGTTTGCTGTGTAACAAAAAATCGTGAGATATAATCGGCATAAGTATAAAAAATATTATTTTAACACTTACAATAAATAATGAAGGCATCTTTTTCTTTTACTCTCAGGAAGTCGAAATACAATATTACTATGTGATTAGAAAATTAAAAAGTAATATAATGTTTCATTGCTCTTCAAATGCAAAAATCATATTTCTATTTGTTGCGCACGAGCCTTACCAAATGATCATTTTTATTAAGTATCTTTGCGCCTTTGTCAAACCAGGAACCACTCTTGCACTAATTGTATTATAACTCATCTATTTACATGTATCGGATACTCGAATGCAAAAAATGCATAGTTAAGTATGGAAATGTGCTGCTTTTCATATTAATATTTTATACTTTCGTCCCATTTTCTCGCGATTCCAATTATTACTGCTAAACTAGCAAAATAATTTTTAATACGCGTCGTAACTTTTGTAACTTTTTTATAATCCCTGTCATATATTGACTAGAGATCCAGTTTGCCTCTTATCTATTGTATTAACGACACGTTTAAAATCATAGTTTTTAAGATGTGTTGATAATATTTTTCTCTCTCTCTCTTCTTCTCAGAACATTTTATTATACATTAAAATGTCCATGCGTAAATTTTTATATAAGTAATCACCTTCTTGAGAACTTACGTATTTTTTTTTTTTAGAAATAGATTTCTTCTCTTGGATTCATAGTATTTTAATTTCTATCACCGTTTTTCTTTGAATTTCAAAACAATTTGCACGTCACTGACTAGTCCCATGTTGCAGAAGAATTCTTCCTCCACACATTTGTCAAAGAAGTGTCTTAACTTTGTTATTCTGTCTTGCTCTTTTCCCAAATAATCGGAAAATCCAATCACAATCTTCTATTATAATATATCTTCTATTCGTTATTAGAAAATTTACGATCTTTTATAAGTTTCTTGGCCAATTTTTGAATAATCCATACTATGAAAAATATCTTCATTTTTTAATTCGCATCTGAATCTATTTTTGAAGCAATTTTAGCAAACAAACATCAATTACTAAACAATTACGAGGACGCGAGTAATTTTGCGGCTGTAGTGACATGATGTTGATGGTGATAGGGTGCCTCCTGGGTGCCGTAATAACTCTGTTGCTGATGTTCGCTCGTAACAGTTAATTGATGAGGATGTTGATAATAAGATGAGTACGGTTGACCAACGACACCGTCGCAACTTCGCGGTTCCGTTTTCACAGCAGGTACATTTCCAGTTGCCAAAAGAGAAGTATGTCCGAGGTAAACAGGTCTATCGGTCGACGTCGATGAGCCCGATGACTTTGGCACCTCGATCTGATGTTGCTGTTGTTGCTGCTGCTGTTGTTGATTGTTCTTCAAGTCTGTAAAAGAATATTCGAGACATTAAACATAAACTGTTGTATGCATAAATAATAAAGTAAAGGAATCATAGAAACATAAATATACTTTTCAAATACAAGAAAAGTATAATATTTTCATTGATACTTACGTGATTACTAAATTAAAAATGTATTAAAACAAAAGTTTATTTTAGTGTTTACACTTTTATATTACCTATATATATTCAGGGAATGGAAAGTTACTTTTTAAAAATAACTAGTTACAGTTACTCGTTACCGAGTAAAAAATGTAACTAGTTACAGTTACAGTTATCGCTTTTTAAAAGTAACTCGTTACAGTTACCGTTACTTGAAAAATAACTTTTCGTTATTTTTCCGTTACTTTTTTAAAATCAATTTAAAAAT